AAACTTCGGTACGAAGTTGTTATTGTATTATACTTTAATAAATGTGTTTCTGATAGTCAATAACTTCCTTCACTGTTGGCCAGGGTGGGGGGTGGTGGGGAGGGGGGGGAGACAAGCATGGGGTTCCTTTGTCTGAGCTGAGAACACAAATATATGAAACTGCGGAAGGTAAATCGGTCCTTACGAGGCAGCTGCTATATTTATCCACCCAAACCCATTCAAAGAACAAAGGATACCGCAGAAGACTCCATTGACACACACAAAGTAGTTTCCAACCATCACCCACGTGTCCAACCCTCACCCACGTGTTCATCACCCACGTGTTCAACCATCACCCACGTGTCCAACCCCTCACCCACGTGTTCAACCATCACCCACGTGTTCAACCATCACCCACGTGTCCAACCCTCACCCACGTGTTCATCACCCACGTGTTCATCACCCACGTGTTCATCACCCACGTGTTCATCACCCACGTGTTCATCACCCACGTGTTCATCACCCACGTGTTCATCACCCACGTGTTCATCACCCACGTGTTCATCACCCACGTGTTCATCACCCACGTGTTCATCACCCACGTGTTCATCACCCACGTGTTCATCACCCACGTGTTCATCACCCACGTGTTCATCACCCACGTGTTCATCACCCACGTGTTCATCACCCACGTGTTCATCACCCACGTGTTCATCACCCGTGTTCATCACCCACGTGTTCATCACCCACGTGTTCATCACCCACGTGTTCATCACCCACGTGTTCATCACCCACGTGTTCATCACCCACGTGTTCATCACCCACGTGTTCATCACCCACGTGTTCATCACCCACGTGTTCATCACCCACGTGTTCATCACCCACGTGTTCATCACCCACGTGTTCATCACCCACGTGTTCATCACCCACGTGTTCATCACCCACGTGTTCATCACCCACGTGTTCATCACCCACGTGTTCATCACCCACGTGTTCATCACCCACGTGTCTAACCATCTTTTTTAGGATTTTGCGTCAAATTTAAAATAGTTGGCCGTTTTGTTTACAAAAAGTCTGCAATTTGCTGAACTTCAGTTCAGTTATGTAATGCAACTCTCAGTGTCATATATACGCCGAGGTGTATACTACTTCTAGGTGAATGAACAGTAGTTTATTTTAACACTGAACAACTGTTAGTAAGGTATTGTTGTGGCTGTATTAACCGTTCCACAAATGCGAACAGGCTTCAATGGTCCCCAGGCATACATGCAACTGAAAACTCCACACCCCAGAAGTGACTCGAACCCATACTGCCAGGAGCACTATGCATCTGGCGTACAGGACACCTTAACCACTCGACCAACACGACCGGACAAAAGAGGATGGTATCCGAGGCTAATTCCCCATCCTCCCGCCGGCACTCTGATGGTAATCTTGGTCATGGTATTTTATCAAATCACCTCATTCTTTGGGGCACACGTGAGGAACACAAAGTGCCCCAAAGAATGAGGTGATTTGATAAAATACCATGACCAAGATTACCATCAGAGTGCCGGCGGGAGGATGGGGAATTAGCCTCGGATACCATCCTCTTTTGTCCGGTCGTGTTGGTCGAGTGGTTAAGGTGTCCTGTACGCCAGATGCAGAGTGCTCCTGGCAGTATGGGTTCGAGTCACTTTTGGGGTGTGAGTTTTCAGTTGCATATATATATAATATACGCAAGAGCACAAGAGTTCTTACATTCTTGTAAAGCCATTAGCACGCATAGCATTTCGGGCAGGTTCTTAATCCTAATTTTCCCCGGAGTACGACTCGCCGAATCGTTTAACAACCAAGTGTTTAAGGCTATTATTTTGGCCTTAATAACCCTTCCGTTGTTGGTGAACCTAAAGCCGTACTCCTTCAATTATCAAGAAGTTTCGGTCCCAAGTATATACTCTTAAGTATAGCATTTACTTATAGGAGAAAAAAAAACCACTCTAAATACACAGAATAAAGACTGCTACCTTGCCGACACTCAGACCCAGATCTCGCCGAACATCTCGCCGGCTCACACTCTTACACCACACATCAGGTCGCTATGATATATGAATGCAATGGCGCGATATATGAATGCAAATCATTTTGAGGCACTGGAGTAACTTGAACAAGCAATCTCGTGCCTCCCAGAACATCCCAGTGAATATAGTGGAGTTCCGGGTTGGTAAACTTTTGTACCATCGTGGCCCAGTAGGTTAAGGCAGGTGTCTTAACACCAATGTCTATGCATACGCCAATGTGTAATCTTCTATTATAGTTGTATCTGTCGATTATTTGAGCGTTGTTTGCCAGGATATCTTTTGTGATGAACTGGTTATGTATAGAAAATGTATGTTCTTTGATGGGGCCTTCCTGTTTATACATCGTCTAACACCTTGGAAGAGATGTTGTCTTGCCTATATACTGAGATCGTTGGGGATAACAGCCTCCCCAAGTGGGCATCATCACTGTAACTGCCATAATTACACACAACCATCATTACTGTAATCATATTCATTACACACGACCTTCATCGCTGTAATTATCTTCACCATACACGATCATCGCAAGGTCCCCCCCCCCCGTCTAAGCACTGTACAGGTTTTAGGAGGTCTTAACACTTATGAATCTTAGTGAGGATTAGTAACTAACTATAGAAAGGAAGGCAGCCTTAGTGAGAACGAATCTGGTTATTTTGCGACGTTGGAAGTTGGTTTAGGGACTTTTGGCGTCCTGGGGAGCCCCAGACCCTAGGCTAGGGGTTGGGAGCACTAGGCTAGGGGCTGGGAGCACTAGGCTAGGGGCTGGGAGCACTAGGCTAGGGGCTGGGAGCACTAGGCTGGGAGCACTAGGCTAGGGGCTGGGAGCACTAGGCTAGGGGCTGGGAGCACTAGGCTAGGGGTTGGGAGCACTAGGCTAGGGGTTGAGAGCACTAGGCTAGGGGTTGGGAGCACTAGGCTAGGGGTTGAGAGCACTAGGCTAGGAGTTGGGAGCACTAGGCTAGGGGTTGCGAGCACTAGACTAGGGGCTGGGAGCACTAGGCTAGGGGTTGAGAGCACTAGGCTAGGGGTTGAGAGCACTGAAATTAATGAGAAACCTGACCTCTAAGTGTACTTTTGACGCGTGAGTGTATACAGCGCGTAATACAATGTTTCCAGTGTATAATACAATGCATACGTCTCATAATACAATGTATCCAGCGTATTATACAATACATACACTCATAATACAATGTATACAGCGCATAATACAATGTATGCAACGCATAATGCAATGTACTCAGAGCGTAATACAATGTATACAGCGTGTAATACAATGTATCCAGCATGTAATACAATGTATACAACGCGTAATACAATGTATCCAGCGAGTAATACAATGTATACAGTGCGTAATACAATGTATAAAGCGCGTAATACAATGTATACAGAGCAAAATACAATGTGTACATTGCATAATACAATGTATTACATTCATCGCGTAATACAATTCATACATCACATAATACAATGTATCCAGCGTGTAATACAGTGTATCCAGCGAGTAATGCAATGTATACATCGCATAATACAATGTATTACATACAGCGCATAATACAATGCATACATCGCATAATATAATGTATACAGCGCGTACTGCAATGCATACATCGCATAATACAATGTATTACATACAGCGCATAATACAATGCATACATCGCATAATATAATGTATACAGCGCGTACTGCAATGCATACAGCGCATAATACAATACATACAACGCATAATACAATGCATACATCGCATAATACAATGTATACAGCGCATAATACAATATATGCATGAGATAATACAATGCATACATCGCATAATACAACGTATACAGCACGTACTGCAATGCATAATACAATGTTCACCTGACAATAAATAAATACCCGAGATTTAGGCAACTGTTGTGGGTTGTATTGTTGGGAGGTCAGATGCTGGCCTCGGGAGACCTCCACGTATGACGCCAGTGGAACTCCCGGTTGCAATTCTTTTGACCATGTCATGTGGCGTAGTCGACTAAGGGCAGCGTCTGGGATCATCCCGGGCGTAAGTTCGAATCCTCATCACGGCTGTTGAGGCCTCTGAAGACCTACACGAGGCGGCGGGCCTCCTGATCCTTCAGTGTTGTACTAACAGTGAGTAGCTACTAAGTAGTGAGTAACTAAGTAAGTGAGTAGCCTAAGCTACTCCTTCCTTGTGTGATGTATTGTGCCAATTTGTCTCCTCCAAGACATGTTGGAATTGGTCTTGTTGAATTTGGTGGTTATACAAGTTGTTAATGTTTTGTAGGAATATTAGTGGATACTAATGGTAACTTGTGATGTGATCTGTTTTAGAGAGTGTAGGTGAAGCCTTTCTCACATTGAGACCATAACAGCTCCTCAAGTCTGACGACATTCTCCAAAACTTTCTGAAGAGTTTCAGGTTAGGTCTTTTAATAAAGATTATTCTTTTCTTTTTAGTAACAAATTATATTTTTATTTTAAAGTATTATATTTGGGTTGTTAACCTTTTTATTTAAAACTCACGAAGGTATGTAATTTTGTTCAGTGTCCTCAAAAATTATTTTATTTTATGTTTTTATTTCGGCAAGGAAATAGTTGGTCTTAATATTCCTTAAATATTATTCCAATTTGAGTGATAATGAGATGGTGTTTACGGCGAGATCACCGGCGACGGAGGGGGGTCACGGCAACATTTGTCTCCCGGCATTGCATCAGTACCCTGGACGACCTGCCGCAAGTGGGTCTGTGTCGACCTTGGCTGTCGTGAAGTTGTCACCCGGTGGCGGTATGGGAAAGTCGTTCGGGCAAAAATGGTGTTTGTGGCTGTATGAACGGGTCGGTGGACTCCAGGGTTCGGGAGAATATGGCGCGTTGATGGCATTCCTAATCGAAGGAAGAAGGAGTGAGTAGAATTGAGAAAAGAGACCTTGGCCGTTTGCCCGTCGTCTATTGTGGTTGTGCGAGCGAGAGTTGGCCAGTTATCGTGAGGGTCCTGGGAGACGAGGAGTGTGGCGTGAGGAGTGTTCATCACCGTCACATTTACCCATCACCATGAAGGAATGGGTCAGGTTGTTCAGTGATGTGGTGGTGCGGGCCTTCTACGGCACCAGGACCGCCACCCCAGCTCCGCAGGAGGATGCCACAAAGGCTGTAGCTCCTGCGGCCTTGTTGGGAGCATCAACAGATCGTACGGCACAGCAGTTTACGGAGGCGTCGCTGCCATTAGCAGGCACCACAGTGGCGGCGTCGCTGCCTCAATCAGGTATCACAGCTGTCACTTCCCATCCACCCTCATTGCCACCCAAACCATCAGTGACTCCTAGAGTGCATTCTCACTCACCCTCGAGCACGTCAGAGGTATTCCCCTCACTCCCTGTCACTCAGGTGCCCACACGAACTTCTCCTGCCGCACAGGTGCCCACACAATCATCCCCAGCCGTTCAGGTGCATAAACAATCATCCCCAGCCGTTCAGGTGCACAAACAATCATCCTCTTCCACCCAAGTGGACACACAATCGTTCCCAGCTGCTCAGGTGCGCTCTAAATTGTCTCCAGCAACTCCGGTACCAACACCGGTTTCCTCAACTCCTGTTGCATCCGCTCAAGCACCTTCTGCCCCAGTAAGAATACCAACACAGGAGAGTCGAGTTGCCTCTCAAGCTTCCCCAGAGTCAGCGACGCTGACAGGTGGATGGTCGACATCTACAGTGTCCAAATCGTCTCCACAGGCACGAGAGAGCTCCTATGGCGATAGAGCGCAGGATAGAGGAAGAGGCAGTGTGAGGGGGCGAGGCTGGGGCCGTGAGAAAGGCGGCAGGAAAGATTCCAAAGGGAGTCAGCATCCTCAGGGACCCTCACAATCCCCCAACACCCGAAATTCCAATTCACCAGCTCCTTCTCGATCGAAACGACCTGGTTCGTGGCGCAAGTGGCCAGGGGCAATATCTCGATCCCTCAGTCCTCGTTCATCACCACAGCCTCCGTGTGTGGACGAAGATGGGTTCACACTCGTTCAAAAACGCATGAAGCCAGGTAGGCCTCCACCCAGCTACACGACCAGCATCCCAAACGATACGAAATACGTTTATGGTGATCAAGAAAGCAGCGACAACACTGTCCTTGCAAGTGACTTTGTACTGGAAGAGGAGGACTTTCCGGTCATCGAGAGCGCTGCGATCCTTACAGGAAGCCACCGTCCAGGAGCGTCACGATCCCCGTCGATTCACGAGCGACCTGTCTCACACGAGTCAGGAAACCGTAAACGAGCCTCAGTCAGCAGCCAGAACGACAACCTTCATCCTCCAGAACAGGATGCAAGACTAATGTCAAGTCTCTCTCAGAAGCAACGCACTGGAGCTGAGAAAACAAGCGCTGGTCAGCTGAGCACACCTTCGCCGTCATGTGTTACACATGACGTCACTGAAAGCGTCGGCGAAGTAGGTAAAGGCGCCAAGTTTAAAACAAAAGCCAAACGCGAAAGTAATTCGAATCGGAACAGCGCACCTTGCCTCGTCGGTGATGTGGTCAAGGAAAACATAAATGTAAAGGAAAACGACTCAAATAAAAAGAATGGTGTTAGTGAGGACAGAGTTGTCTCTAACCAGGACGTGCTGCTCCAGAGCCTCGCTAACAACACCGGTGAAGTAATGTCAAGAGGTCAGGTGGAGCTCCTCGAGCAGGTCTGTGTGGACGTCTCTGGCGTCACTGCGCCCAGTGCGACGCACGAGTCACATTCAGCAGCTCAGACGACAACCAGCTCGACTCCCGTTGAGATCACAGACGGAGTTTCGTCTGAAAATCTAGAACCAAAATCCAGAAAACCCAAAAAGAAGAGAAACAGAAAGTTGAACAAATCTGAGAGTCGAGACGGTAGTGAGGCTTTAGTCACGCAAGGCGAGCCTCAGGTGGTCGAGTCCTTAGACACGTCTCAAATCATGGAGATGTCTGGCTACCTGATGGATCATTACTGCGCCAAGACCAGCTCGAAGGCTCACCAAATCGGAAAGGATGAAATGACCCAGGAACCACATGTAAGTACCGAACTTGAAAACACAACTAGTAACGAGTTAGGTATGGACGGTGATGTTTGTAAATCATCAAAATCCGAACCATCTCATCGCACCTCTGGAGATGAGACCAACATTGCTAGCAACTCGAGAGGTCATGAAGTCGACATTCCTCCGCCCGTACAGGACGCAACTGTCATAAATACTCATGCAAGTATATCAGTCCCTAAGAACAGTGTATCCAACTTAACCACTAAAAAGGGTCTTACTGAGGACCTCCAGGTAGATCAAAGTATAGGAATTGAAGCACTGACGATGAACTGTATATCTGAGAGCACTTACAATGATGACGAGACTAATGATAACGACTATGTCTTCGTCTCGGCCGGGGATTGTGTTGCAAGTGGAATTAAAGATGTGACGAACGATAACATTAACTTTAATGTGATTACCGAGGTATCCCCTGAAGCGTCAGCTCCTGATGATATACACGACCAAACACGAATGAAGACAGAGAGATCATCTTTTAAATGCCCTGACAGTGAAAAAATGAACTTCCAAGAGTTTCCGGCTGGATCTGAAGGGATAGAAATTCGCCCTGTAAATGAAACTCTACCAGCCACCACGATGCTGTTGGATAAACAGACAGAAGATAAAACTCTACCAGCCTTTGCGATGCTGTTGGATAAACAGACAGAAGACATAACTCTACCAGCCACCACGATGCTGTTGGATAAACAGACAGAAGATAAAACTCTACCAGCCTTTGCGATGCTGTTCGATAAACAGACAGAAGACATAACTCTACCAGCCTTTGCGATGCTGTTAGATAAACAGACAGAAGATAAAACTCTACCAGCCACCGCGATGCTGTTGGATAAACAGACAGAAGACATAACTCTACCAGCCACCACGATGCTGTTGGATAAACAGACAGAAGACAAAACTCTACCAGCCACCACGATGCTGTTGGATAAACAGACAGAAGACAAAACTCTACCAGCCTTTGCGATGCTTCTGGATAAACAGACAGAAGACGAAAGAGTTCCTTGCGATGGAGACAGAAAGAAATCCGAAGAGCCAACGAACAGAAAACACAATAAACGTAACAAGAAGAAAACTAAGACGAATGAGGGAGACTGGAGTAAACAAGATGATGAGAACAAGATCGAGAAAACTTCTCATAATCACAACGAAGACGACACCCAAGAAAAACTTGATGAGGCGAGAGATACTGAGACGCTGATGTTGACGCACAACGAAGGTGAAGGAAAACAAACTAGAGGAACAGAACTCGAAAGTTTCACCGATAATGGAAGGAAACTGAGAACGGAAGTAGATAATAAGCACAACATTGATAACAGGAAAAGTCAAGACAACTTATTCCCTAAGGATAATGCCGGAGACATAGTACAAGACAAAACCGAAAATAATGACAATGAAAAGACATGTGTGACAGAGGCCGTCTCCCATAAAGTTACAGACATAGACAGCTCCCAACACAGGGAAAATACAGTAATACAGCAAACTACACAGGAAGAGGAGGCAATCACAAGCCTGAACCCGTCCACATCAGGCAAGACAGACGAGATGGCGGTCCTAATGGATCTCATAGCACAGAAAAGGAACAAAATCCTCTCTCTTCAGAAGGCATTAAATAAAACGAAGACCGCACCAGAACTTCAACCCAGCCTGGAGAGCCAAGGCAGCGAGAGTGACGAGGAAGACCTCCACAAACAACACGATTCGAAGACCGGCGACGATGGTCCCCACGACGTCAGAAACTCGGTGGCTGGCCATAGGGCGAGTCCAGAAGGGGTAGAGGAAGGGAGGGTTTGGGGATTGGAAACTGATCCTGTCACCACCACCCACACACTCTTCAACAAGAAGGTAGACAATAGAGTTGACTATGAGGCCGCCGCCCTGAAGGATGGCACAAAAACAGAAGTTGATGTAACGGAGCCAGGCCACGGCTGCCAAGTCGAACGTTGTGATGCCGAACACGACGAACAGGCGAAAGGGAGAAGAAAAAGAGAAAAGGAGAAAATCAAACACAGGAAAGAAGATAGGTACAGAGGAGAGGGTGAGCACTCAGACAGGTCACGTCACGGTGATAACACAACACGAGAAAGGGAAAATAAAACGAAATATGAAACGGAAAATGAAAAAGATGAAGACACCTGCCAACAAGAACAGTCAGGTGAGGCTGAAATAGATACTGAAAGCATTGTGAGTCGCCACGACGTAAATAAAGCAGACATAAGAGTGGCGGTCGAGCAAAATAAGACAGAAAAAACAAATATCGCTGATAAAAAGGAAACGAGAATAAAGCAACGAGAAGATACATGTACAAAGCAAAAAAATGAAGGAAACCATGAGGAGGAACCAAATAACCCCATGGAACTAGAACGGATTAGAAAAGAGGAAAAGAGAGAGAGGAAGATGAGGAGACGTGAAGAGAAACAGAGACTAAAGCAGACACAAACAAACACTGAGCAGGACCAAAATATAGCCCAGGAGACGGTGGAGGAGGCAGAAGCAAGGAGAGAGAGGAGGAGGAGGAGAAGGAAGGAACGCGAGACTGAGGAATTAGAACGTCAGAAACTTGAAAGAAAACGCAGTGATTGGGCAAACCCAGTGGACGAGGCGCCAGAAGTGTCCGAGTCACAGCCAGTCGTGGAGCTCACCCAGCACGCTGCTTCGAACCCTCACCTTGCTGCTGCAGGTGAACCTGTCGACCTACCCAACCTTGCCGTAGTCGACCCCGACGCCTATTCAAACAGTCACAAAGGTGGTATAGACAGTCCTGATACTGCTATTGATCTTGAAACTCCTCCAGAGGATTTCGAGGCTTCTTCCAAGGCATCAGAAACTGCTTCAGAAATCACGACTACTGAAACTCCCGAGGCTTCTGAAGACACTTTTTTACACAGCACCATCAGCCCAATTGCTCTGGCGAGGCTGATGAGAATCAATGAGTTGTTGGAGCTTCGAAGCAGTTACCAGTCACCGGAGGAGAGAGAAGATACCTCCCAAGACACAGTGAGTCAGGTGAACGACTCTAAGACGCGTGAGTGTGATGCTAATGCCAGTGATGACGTAATGAAGACGACTCAGACTGGAGAATATTTTAAAGATGACGAAGAAAATTATGGGAGTCGTAGACGGGAAACAGGAGAAAGGAGAAATAGAATATCTAAAGAAAATATTGATGAGGAGGGAAAAGGAGAGGTGGAGCCAGTACGAAGGAGAAGGCGTAGGGAAGATGAAAGGAACAAGGAAGAGGAATCACCAGAAGTCTCCAGTGGATTCCAAGGCTTTAACATGCTCAAGACATTTGAGGAATTGGTCAGTGAACGGAGAAAAAGACGAAGCAAGCGACTGGAGGATTCGGAGAACCAAGAATCACAGGCAGAGGAAAACTCACTACGACGAAGACGCACTCGCATGGCTGAGGAAAGTGGTGGAGACGGAGAGTCTCAGACGGGTGGTAAGACCACCACTACTGCCACTCCCACGGTGAGAAGACGTCAACGGCCTACACAAGACACCAGCCAGACGCGTGACTCCCAAGCGGACGAAGTCAACAGCAAGGATTACGAGGAGATCTTCGCCCGGAGGAGACAGCGAAGGAGTCGAAGGCTTGAGGGAGACAGTAGCCAGGTAGACGAGGATCGAACCCTTTCCCGCCACTCCCACGACTCACAAATAGTCAACAGCAACAGTGAATCCGACAGACAATACGAAGAAATATTCGAGAGGAGGAGACGCATCAGAAGAATGAGATATGCAGAGTTACACAAGTCCAGTGAAGAGGAACAGAAGCAAAACACAACTCGTATTTCGCCTTTGAGAGAAGATCAAAGACCTCAGTCTCCCGAAGTATGCGTTAGTGGCAATGTCAGTGACGAGTTGATCTCCTTCGGTACCAAGGAACTTACCAAACTTGACGCCAGGCGGTCGCCTGTTAAGAGTGATAGTGACTCTAGTGACACGGAAGACAGTGACGACAGTGAAGCGAGTGTATCAGATCGCAAACTGAACGAGAGGAGTGATAGTGGTGGCGACGGAGGATTTAACAGCGAGAGGTCTCCTGAAGATCAGGTAAGGAAACCATTATGTCTTTCGCTGCCCCTAAGACCTCCCCCCCTCCCTGCAAGTTGCCCAACCTGTTGTTAAAGTAGATAATAACATGGTTATGGTTCGTTGACCAGACCACACGCTTGAGCTACCTCATCCCTTTGTGTGTATTTTACCTCAATAAACTTATTTCAATTTCAATTTCACTAGAAGGTGAAGGGACGACGACGTTTCGTCGTCCACAATCGACTTGAGAATGGTCCAGGACGGACCGAAACGTCGTCGTCGTCCCTTCACCTTCTAGTGTGTGGTCTGGTCAACATACTTTAGCCACGTTATTGTGACTCCTCGCCTGTACATGGTTATGGTTCTTCCCGCAAATGGCTGTACAACACAAATTGTATTGAAATGTTATGTCTATGATCCTGAGATTTGTGTAGAATTTTGACCCATTAATTTTTTTTATTTTTATTTAAGAAAATATAATATAAATCATATATACATAAGTTTTATAAGGCAATACTACATTATAATTCTCAGTGAACAAGTGTTTCATTATTACCGAACATGATCTTTAAAACCCCTGAATGTTATACTTATTTTTCTTTAAATGATTTACAAAAAATGGAGATTAAATTTACATTAATATACAGGGGAAATTATTACATTTATATATATTTTATACTCATTAATGGAACGAAACCACAAGAAAATATATAATGTGATTAATAACGTTGAAGTTCTATAATTGTTATTAGTATAAAGTAATCCTTAATACTGGAACGAATATCAAATCGTGTAAAATAGAACGCCGCATATATATATATATATATATATATATATATATATATATATATATATATATATATATATTTGGTAGCAGTCTTTCCTGTAGACATATATTATTAAATATGACCGAAAAAGTAAGATTAATAATTCTAACACGAATTTTCTCAATCTTTCGTACATTTCTTTTCACTGTTGGAGGTAATTCAAAAATCAATTCTCCAATTGATTGAGAAAATTCGTGTTAGAATTATTAATCTTACTTTTTCGGTCATATTTAATAATAATATATATATATATATATATATATATATATATATATATATATATATATATATATATATATATATATATATATATATATATATATATATATATATATATATATATATATATATATATATATATGTTTATTTTCGTGATATACACACACATATATATATATATATATATACGTGATATACACACACATATATATATATATATATATATATATATATATATATATATATAAACTCGTCGGTATATTGAGCGTATAATGGTCTTTCACGAATGAAATCAGGAACTGGATTGCAGTGTCTTTTTAACTAAGTATATTTCCAGTGGCCGTGAAATAATGTTACTGTGTTGAAGCAACAACAAGAGATTTGCAATTGCAAGAAGTGCATAATTGCACAGATCATGCGTGACCTACTATAAGCAAACTTGAGAGGTTTAGTTAAAATTTTGGGTACTAGAAAATTCCGGGTGAAATATTTTGACATCTCGTGAACAAGGGGATTAGAGATAAGATATTTAATTGTATACTGTTGGGAATCTAGACATAACTAGTTCAAGAGAATTAGGCCGGCAACTTGTAATATTTTTAATCCCCAATTCTGTATTCTGAACTATGTCAGTTGGTTAGGTCTTAAGGCTTAAAGCGCAACCACAGTTGGGTTAGTAATTTAGTTTGTTCTCTCTATAATGTCGGACGGTGGACTTGAGCCAATGTAGTCCTATGGGACAAATCTTGTAATATATCCAAGGATATATTTCCTTATACTACCTCTTCCTCTTGGGATATATTTGTTTCGAAATTCAGTTTCACACTAGTCAGTTTTTATTATTTAAAAACTCTTGTCTCAATGAAGCCTAGCGAACTGACAGAAATTACGCACTTGATCTGATGGAAATAAATAAATACGCACTTGATCAAAAGTTACATAATAATGTAAACTAGAGTTAAAGATGCAGTTGGTTCACATCTTAATATTCTTGAAACTTTAATTTGTTTTTTCTCTAAATTTTGAGCAGCTTAATTGGTTAATATTAATTGAAAATAAAGAAGTTAACAATTATTTAATATTAATAGTTATGTTAGTTACTAATTAACATGCCTCTAATGATTAGTTAATAATGAATGCATTGTTAAGAACTAACAAAGTTACATATCTCTATAATTTATGGCTAGTGGCCCCTACAGGAATAGTTTGAGAATCAAGCTAGAAGTGCTCTGCTCTGGGTCAGCCTGTCGTCAAATTTGGCACAGCTTCAAGGTCTCGACAGAAACCAGAAACCATGCGCAGTATTGCATATCACTCTGGCTTGATTCATCTCCGTTTACTAGATTTTGGATGTAGTTAGTCCTGCAATCACTGAATGTGGGAATAGTACTCATGTGATCTCTCCTCTATATGTTAGTTCAGTGTTAGAATACGCAGCACCGTCAAAGAACCCATAACTGAAGCACAAAACTAACTTGAAATAGTATATAGTTTGTAAGACGGCTAGTATTATTCTGTAATTACGAAGACAACGCCATGAAGACAAGTTAAGGGAATTCTACTTTTCAATTCTAGAGTCCAAAAGCATTGGGGATATGATCACCTTATACAAGATACTGGGAGAACGAAAGGTGGTTAAGAATAGGTGCAACAGGGGAAATAATGTTTTAAATGAAGGCTACGAGGTTGATCATACATGTTTTCACTGAACTACTGCGAGAAGTAATGTAAGATGATCGTGTCCTAAATTATTATAGATGCATCATTAACTTTCAACTTCAGTGTTGGCTTCACTGACTTTAATATATCAAATTGTAGAAAATTAATGTAGCTGTATAGAAGGGTTGAACACAGCACAAAGTTCAAAAACAACATGAAAAAGCACAATAGAGTTTAAAAAAAAAAACTCTATTATTATTTTTTTATGGTTAATATTAGGATATCGTGTTAACGAGATTTATCACAACCGGATTTGATAAAACATTCTATGGTACGAGCAGTTTGCATGAAAACTTCATCTCCCCGATGACGGCACAACCTAACCCAACCCAACCCAATCTTAAGAAACCTAATCTTTCTAACGATATTACAGTACTGTCAATTAAACACAAGATGTGAGCGAAAACGAGAATGTGTTTTGGGGTTAGCCTTTTCTTCTTTATCTAGTGAGAGATATATTACTATTCCCTCAGCATCAGAGACCGGGAAAGGCAACACCTAATGCATTCAAGCGATCGATTTAGCCTAATGTTTTATTGCTATATCATTCAAGAATAGTTTTTTGTTATTATTAACACATTTAGGTACATCTGCATTTGTGCAGCTACCCTAGACTATATGAAGGGGAGTACAGTGTGTGCCAAAAAGCTAGCTACGTGATGCTAAAAATCCCCATCACACAGGATGGTTAGTCATACAGAGGCATGTGATAAGTAGTCTGCACTGGCAGACTCTGGGTGCATTATGAGGATATCATCATCAACACAAGAGTGAATAAGGTAGCAGTGGTACTAAAAATCCCCATCTTGCAGGATGGTTAGTCATACAGGGCCATATGTTCAGTAGCCTGCACGGGCAAATTTTGGGTGCAATATGAGGATATCCTCAAGAATACGAGAGTGAATAAAGTAATTGCAAAGCTCCAGGTACCTCATGCCAACTGGTCTGAAAGGTCTAATAACTGGGCATTCGGTGATGTAGTGCGGGAGATCATGCCGCAGTTCCTGCTCACAGAGTTTGCACCTGGAGTGCTCAGGATTTGGAGATCCGTCATGTAGCCACCTGCCACAGGTAACGGTAGCCACCTGTAACGCCACCTGCCACAGGTAACGGTAACCCAACCTGATCCTGGCAACCACTCTGTCGCACAGTTTGGTGGACGTTTTGTGCTGACCATAGATATTTTGGTTTCAGACCTGAACAAATCATAGCTTTTAATACTAGTACTTTCATGTCGTTGGGAGGCAGTAATTTCTTTCCTATCAGACCTGAGTTTTGGACCAATACAGTTTTGACAGCAGAGATGGGGATACCTAGATCTAATTCAACTTCATCTTTGTTACACGCTAATTTAGTTGCAATGTCTATGTCATTATGATGGATTATATTTATGTGTGAAGGTATCCATACAAAGGAGATTCGAGACCCTTTACTCTGTGCAGCGATTAGATCATTTATAATTGGTAGTATGAGGGTCTTGTTGTCGATCTTCCAGGAGAAGTTTTCGATTGCTTGAAGAGCAGACTTTGAATCACAAAATATTATTCCTCCGCCAATGTTTATTAATGTACTGGTATCTAGTTGTAGTGCTGCTAGTTCTGCTTGTGTGGAGGTCAGCCAGTTGTTTAACCTGACACTGACAGTCTTTGTGCAAATATTATTTCTATAAAACCTACATGCTGCTGCAGTCCGTCCAGTAAAAGATTGGACTGAGCCGTCGGTGTAGACACAGTACTCGTGAGATCTTAAATCTTCTATGGGGGAGGTAATTGTTTCAAGTGTGACAGCTTTGAGAAGAGCAAGATTCTCATTACCTTTCTTGGTGACAGACGGGTATGTATGATACTTGAATGGCGGGGCACAGATAAAGAATACTCCCACAACTCTATTTTTTCACTCTTAACTGCATATTGGTCATAGATGAAGCATCCCCGCGGTCCGGTCTTCGATCTTATCAGATGATGAATTAAGCAAGCATTACTGCATCAACAGTGTCAGACTTACGATCCAGTTAATTAAAAGTTAGTTTATTAAGAAATCGAACATTATTGTTACACAGAATGTTAAGTGCTAATTCATTATGTCCTGACAACTACCGAAATCACTAATCAGCATAAATTCATAACTGGACAGTATGTTAAACCCCAGAAAAAAGTTTAGGATTAGGGTAAAATCAAAGTATATTCGCTGTGAAATACACTTAAAGGTGTATCTTCTCACTACAAAAAAAAAAGAAATATTACTTTTATTTTA